TGAAATCTGAGATAGGATCCATGTATGAGAACAAAGTGTGGACTTTGGTTGACTTACCCGATGATCGGCAAGCCATCGAGAATAAATGGATCTTCAAGAAGAAGACTGGCGCTGACGGTAATATTACTGTCTACAAAGCTCGACTTGTTGCAAAAGGTTTTCGACAAGTTCAAGGAGTTGACTACGATGAGACTTTCTCACCCGTAGCAATGCTTAAGTCCGTCTGAATCATGTTAGCAATTGCTGCATTTTATGATTTTGAAATTTGGCAAATGGATGTAAAGACTGCATTCCTGAATGGATTTCTGGAAGAAGAGTTGTATATGATGCAGCCTGAAGGTTTTATCGATCCAAAGGATGCTAACAAAGTGTGCAAACTCCAGCGATCCATCTATGGACTGGTGCAAGCATCTCGAAGTTGGAATAAACGTTTTGATAGTGTCATCAAAGCATATGGTTTTATACAGACTTTTGGAGAAGCCTGTATTTACAAGAAAGTGAGTGGGAGCTCTGTTGTATTTCTAATATTATATGTGGATGACATATTGTTGATTGGAAATGATATAGAATTTCTGGATAGCATAAAAGGATACTTGAATAAGAGTTTTTCAATGAAAGACCTCGGTGAAGCTGCTTATATATTGGGCATCAAGATCTATAGAGATAGATCAAGACGCTTGATTGGACTTTCACAAAGTACATACCTTGATAAAGTTTTGAAGAAGTTCAAAATGGATCAAGCAAAGAAAGGGTTCTTGCCTGTGTTACTAGGTGTGAAGTTGAGTCAGACTCAATGCCCGACCACTGCAGAAGATAGAGAGAAAATGAAAGGAGTTCCCTATGCTTCAGCCATAGGCTCTATCATGTATGCAATGTTGTGTACCAGACCTGATGTGTGCCTTGCTATTAGTTTAGCAGGGAGGTACCAAAGTAATCCAGGAGTGGATCACTAGATAGTGGTCAAGAACATCCTGAAATACCTGAAAAGGACTAAGGATATGTTTCTCGTTTATGGAGGTGACAAAGAGCTCGTCGTAAATGGTTACGTCGATGCAAGCTTTGACACTGATCCGGATGACTCTAAGTCACAAACCAGATACGTATTTATATTGAACGGTGGAGCTGTCAGTTGGTGCAGTTCTAAGCAAAGCATCATGGCGGGATCTACATGTGAAGTGGAGTACATAGCTGCTTCGGAAGCAACAAATGAAGGAGTCTGGATGAAGGAGTTCATATCCGATCTAGGTGTCATACCTAGTGCATCGGGTCCAATGAAAATCTTTTGTGACAATACTGGTGCAATTGCCTTGGCAAAGGAATCCAGATTTCACAAGAGAACCAAACACATCAAGAGACGCTTCAATTCCATCCATGATCAAGTCAAGGAGGGAGACATAGAGATTTTCAAGATACATACGGATCTGAATATTGCAGACCCGTTGACTAAGCCTCTCTCACGAGCAAAACATGATCAACACCAAGACTCCATGGGTGTTAGAATCATTACTATGTAATCTAGATTATTGACTCTAGTGCAAGTGGGAGACTGAAGGAAATATGCCCTAGAGGCAATAATAAAGTTGTTATTTATATTTCCTTATATCATGATAAATGTTTATTAGTCATGCTAGAATTGTATTAACAGTAAACTTAGTACATGTGTGAATACATAGACAAAGAAAATGTCACTAGTATGCCTCTACTTGACTAGCTCGTTGAATCAAAGATGGTTGTGTTTCCTAACCATAGACATGAGTTGTCATTTAATTAACGGGATCAAATCATTAGAGAATGATGTGATTGACTTGACCCATTCTGTTAGCTTAGCACTTGATCGTTTAGTTTGTTGCTATTACTTTCTTCATGACTTATACATGTTCCTACGACTATGAGGTTATGCAACTCCCGAATACCGGAGGAACACTTTGTGTGCTACCAAATGTCACAACATAACGGGGTGATTATAAAGGTGCTCTACAGGTGTCTCCGATGGTACTTGTTGAGTTGGCATAGATCAAGATTAGGATTTTTCACTCCGATTGTCGGAGAGGTATCTCTGGGCCCTCTCGGTAATGCACATCACTATAAGCCTTGCAAGCAATGTGATTAATGAGTTAGTTGCGGGATGATGCATTATGGAACGAGTAAAGAGACTTGCCACTAACGAGATTGAACTAGGTATTGAGATACTGATGATCGAATCTCGGGCAAGTAACATACCGATGACAAAGGGAAAAACGTATGTTGTTATGCGGTTTGACCGATAAAGATCTTCGTGGAATATGTAGGAGCCAATATGAGCATCCAGGTTCCGCTATTGGTTATTGACCGGAGCGGTCATGTCTACATAGTTCTCGAAACTGTAGGGTCCGCATGCTTAACGTACGGTGACGATCGGTATTATGAGTTTTCGTGTTTTGATGTACCTAAGATAGTTCGGAGTCCCAGATATGATCACGGACATGACGAGGAGTCTCTAAATGGTCGGGACATAAAGATCATTATATTGGATGACTATGTTTGGACTTCGGAAGTGTTCCAGGCAAGTTCGGGCATATACCAGAATACCGGGGGGTTACCGGAACCCCCCGGGGAGTATAATGGGCCTTATGGGCCTTATTGGAGAAGAGGAGGGGCGGCCAAGGCAGGGCCGTGCGCCCCCTCCCCGTCTAGTCCGATTTGGACAAGGAGGGGGGCAGCGTCCCCCTTTCCTTCCCCCTCTCTCCTCCTTCCCCCTTCTCCTACTCCTACTAGGAAAGGAGGAGTCCTACTCTCGGTGGGAGTAGGACTCCCCCCTTGGCGCGCCCTCCTCCTGGCCGGCCGCCTCCCCCCTAGCTCTTTTATATACAGGGGCGAGGGGAGCACCCCAAGACACACAGGTTGATCATTGATCTTTAGTCGTGTGCGGTGCCCCCCTCCACCATAATCCACCTTGGTCATATCATAGCGGTGCTTAGGCGAAGCCCTGCGTTGGTAGCTTCATCAACACCATCATCACGCCGTTGTGCTGACGGAACTCTTCCTCGAAGCTCTACTGGATCATGAGTTTGTGGGACGTCACCGAGCTAAACGTGTGCAGATCGCGGAGGTGCCGTACGTTCGGTACTAGGATCGGTCGATCATGAAGACGTACGACTACATCAACCGCGTTGTCATAACACTTCCGCTTACGGTCTACGAGGGTACGTGGACGACACTCTCCCCTCTCGTTGCTATTCATCTCCATGATCTTGCGTGTGTGTAGGAATTTTTTTGAAATTACTACGTGCCCCAACAGAACCAATGGGTCTCACATGAGTAAAAAAATTACTGAGCACGCTTTTATGACGATTCTGTCTTTGAGCCATTCATAAACGGGTCTCACATGAGAAAAATTATGAAGCACGCTTTTATGACAATTATGAATTTGCACTTTGGTTCGGCAGCCTCTTTATCCATATGAAGTATGCTTTATATACGTTAGACTAGTCACAATGGATAGTAACATAGACTAGTAACATGCCCATGTTACTAGTCTATGTTACTACCTCTATAGTAGGAAGTAACATGTGTGTGGTAATATGCAACACTTCATTTATTAGGCCATAGACCCATCTTGCCTTGATATGTGTGATCTTATTCATACTACTAGTAAGGCTGGCCATAGTGGGGGACTAGCCATAGTGGGAGTAACTTCAGCAGTAACATCGAGTCCAACTCAGCAAATTTGCTTATGTGGCAGTGAGTTAATAAGGAGAGAGGTAGTTATAGTAACTTAGCTAGTTACTGTAACATCACATGTCCCAATGCAATATGTGTCTATAACCTAATAAATGAAGCTTTGCATGTTACTACACTTATGTTACTACCCACTATGAAGTTAGCAACATAGTCTAGGGATATGTGTATGTAACTAGTGTATGTTACTCACCATTGTGGGTAGCCTAACATACTCCCTCCGTCTCAGTTTACAAGTCCTATGCGTATACCTAGGTTGCCAATTTGACCACCCTAATATAAACTATATAACACAAAAAATATATCTTTTGAAAATAGAACATCTGAAGTTTACATTGGTATATTTTTCCTAATATATGACTTGTATTAGGTTGGTCAAATAGACGACCTAGGGGTACGCGCACGCCCTGTAAACTGAGAGAGAGGTAGTAACTAGTATCATGTACTTGGGACTCGCAAATATGCTTATGTGATAGGCAATTAAAGAAGAAAGAGAGAGGGTCATAGTAACATAGGTACATACCGTATCATAATAAATGTTATGCTACTATGTGTCATGCATGAAAATAAATGAGATCATCTATAATACTACTTTATGATACTATACACTATAGATGTAGTATCATACACTAGTATCATATGCATGATAGTAGTATATGTTACTCCCCACTATGACCAGCCTAACAAGCTACGTTACCACATGCCTCTCTTTCTTCATTTATTGCTTGCCACATCATGAAGGCTGCCAGCAGTGGTGGAGCTACACCAGAATTCCTGGGGGGGGGGACACAAAATGTGAACATTTGAGGGGGTAAAATACTAAATTTTCTTCCAACTAAGACCTCTAATTAATATTTCCTTCACAGAATTGTCCAATATTGGAGGGGCGACAGCCCCCCAGCAACACACTAAGGGTGTGTTTGGTTACTTTCGCTGTTGGGCCTGGCTCAGAGAAGAAAAACGAGCGAGGCTGAGTAGGTCCTGGTTGAGGGAAAATGAGGCCAAAAACATAGATGTCAACTTGATTGGTTGCCTGCATTAGGGGGTCTTGTAATCGAGATGCAATTTTGACCCGGCGTTTGGTTGCATACATGCATATGATTAGGAGTTAACAACAAAACTTAACAGCCATCAGGTTTGGCTTCTCATTTCGTCGAACACGTTGAGTGCGCCGAAGCTTCCTCTGCTCCTCGCGTCGCCCACGGAGCCCATTCGCCGCCGCCGTCGACCTCCTCGCGCTGCTCTTCGCCGACCTCCTGCGCCGCCACCCCGCTGACGCCGTCATGTTCGACGGTGTCCTCCTGTGGGCCGCCACCGCCGCCGCCGAGCTCGGCATCCCGCGGTATGCATTCACCGGCACGGGCTGCTTCATGCTCTTGGTGCAGCGGTCCCTGCTCCTCCACACCCCGCAGGAGAGAGTCACGTCGCCCACAGAGTCGTTCGTTGTGCCAGGCCTCGTCCGTACGAACCCGCCGCTAAGAAGCGGCAGTGCGGCGCCCGCCGCGAACGCCAGAGCCGACGCGCCCGCTGCCAGCGTCGGGCTCGGCAGGTTGCTCCTGTCGCCGCTGCCCCCGTCGACGTCGCGGGTACGCTTGATCTGGGGTCACCTCAATTTCATACTGCACGTACACGGACACGAACTCACCGATGGCCATGTTGCAGGCGCCGGACACGAGCCCCGCGACGCCCGACCAGGCGTATGTCTCCGCGGTGTCCTGCTCCGACTGCCGCTTCAAGCAGCGCGCCCTGGCGCCGGCGTCACCGGGAGCCGTCATCCGCTCGCTGTTCGTCTCCCTCACCGGACGGTCCACTCCGCGCTCCTCGCCGTCTCCGACGTCTCCCTCGGAAGGCGACGCGAGTGAGGGCGAGCAGTGGCGCCTGGCCGCGGCCGACCTCTCGCGGCGGCTCGGACGACGCGGTGGAGGAGACCTCGCGGCTGAAGCAGTCTCTCGTCGAGCTGGAGCTCAAGCCGGCGCCGTCTTCCCCGTCGAGTCCTTCCTTCGCACCGTCTCCACTGCAGCGGCTCCGGCCCCGAGGCGCCACCGTGCTCGCCTGCCGCCCTTGTGGCGTCGCCGGCCACGATGGCAAGCGTAGGCGGCGGGGGAAGCATGGCGCCACCACCAAGAATGCCATTTCTTGCCGGCTCCTGATGGCGCTGTCGGTGTTGTGGCTATGGCTGCTGGCGGTGGGCCTCCCCAGGCGCCTCCACCGTCCTCTCCTTCTCCCTCTCCCTGTCCACCCTTCTCCGGTGGGGATGCCGGTGTTGAGGCAAGAGGAAGCCGGCGGCGCCTGCGCGAAGGGAGAGAGAGGGGATTGAGGATTAGGGAGAGAGAGAGGGGGATTAACTCGAGACACACGTCTCCAGAGAGCCACCCGCGTGCGCCTCGAAGCATCGTTCGGGCCTGACTCTCGGGAAACTGCTGATTCGACCTTCCCAACGGGCCAGACCCAGGGGTGCTTTTAGAACCGTGCTATGCGGGCTCAACAGTGTATACATGCAACCAAACAACCGAGGTCCAAAAAAATGCTGCACTGCACGAACCTGGTTGGCCTCGATGCAGGCAACCAAACTCGCCGTAAGCTCCGCCACTGGCTGCCAGTGCTAGAGTTGCCTTTATCTGATCCAATTGGTTGAAGAGCTACTTTGCTCCTGCGGTACATGGTCGAGCGAGCCTACGTGCTGCGGCAGGCCCCATGCATAGTGAGTGGAGAAGTGACAACTGGAAAAGGAACAAAGAGCAGCAGTACTACCAGATAACGTGGATCTCAGCAGTACGTAAAAGGCTGAGCGAACATGAAGTACAAACGGTACATGCTGGTCGATCTACAGCGTGTGTACATGCTCGGAGCGCACATCGCGCACACTGACACACAACTCCATGCACAACACTCTCACGGACGGGCCAGGACGGGACCAACCCACTCAGCGTCGCGCTTGCGCCACTCACGTAGTACATGCCTTTTTCCCACTCAATCAAAAAGAAAGAAAAGCAAAAGAAGGTCACGTAGTACGTCCGGATCCCCGTACAGACAGGTGTTGTCTCATCGCCAAAAGAGCACATAGAAACTGGTCGGCAGTCCCGTCACGGGTTGATTGCCGGGCGGCCGTGAGCGGAGGAGAAGAAAACTCCATGGCTGGTTCACTTGTGGACAGAATAGAATAGACCGCGCGGATATCCGACGGAAGTAGCAGCCGACATCTTCAACGGGGCGTTTACATCACAAGACACCGATGGATCGAGGTCGCTTCTTCTCAATCCACTGTCAAGAGTGTCAGCTCGGTCGATTCGCAGTGAATTTGGCCGCGTTTTCTTGCTAAACCGGGCCGACGTTGTCCTACTCCAAGGGGCAATCTGAACATGGTGCTCTACAGCGTGAGTTTTCTTTTCACTGTTCAGCACCGCATCGCACTGGCTGAAGATCTGACACTACATCCACGCGCAAGAGGTAGCATGAACACTCAACGCTGTCACGGACGGACCAGGCCGACGCCGGGGACCTGCAACCCGTTTCTTGCGCTTGCACACCAACCCGATCGCGTCCAGATTCCCGTACAGACAGGTGTTGCCTCACCGCAAAAAGAGCGCCCATGCGCGGCCAAAGGCGAAGGTTTATACAGCGCACTTGCTCGGGACTGGTGTCAGGGGTAGATTGCTGGTTGATCGACAACGAAACTTCGTGGTCCGTTGGTCCTCCTCACTTGTGATGAGACAGAATAAGAAGACACGCGCCAAGTTTTTTTTTTTTTGAAACAAGGCAAAAGACTTGCCATTTTCATTGATTAAGAAGAAGGTTTAGACATAAGCCGCAGGGCAGCAAAAACGAAAAGGTCTACTCTCGCGACATAACAATACTAAGCTGCTTCGCTCCTGCCAAAGTCCAAAGATGAGCCTCCTCCTTGATTTTAGCGATAACAATAGAGGTCGGAGCGGAGACATTCTGAAAAATTCTTGCGTTGCGCTCCTTCCAAATTTCCCATGAGACAAGCATCATCAAGGAGGCGGTGGCCTTCCTGTGGTCACCTCCCCCACTAACCACCTTAAGCCACCAATCTTTAACTGAGTCTTCATGACGCCAAATCATTGGTGAGGAGTCAAGAATGCCAAGCCAAGTGCAAATTTCAGTCCAGATCCGTACAGTGAACCTACATTGGAATAGGAGGTGAGTAGAAGATTCTTGCACTTGCTTGCAGAGAGGGCACAAATTACAGTTTGGCCAACCTCGGCGCAGCAAACGATCGGCTGTCCAAACACGATTTTGGAAGATCAACCAAGCAAAAAATTTACACTTCGGAGGAGCCCACATCTTCCAGATTGTAGCATTCATTAGGCAAAATGAGAGACCGACAAACTGCACCATGTAAGCCGAGGAGGCGGAGTACTCGCCACTGTTGGTGAACTTCCAAGATATTGTGTCTTGGCTACCCTGGTTGAGGTTTACATCTGCAAGCATCTCCCAAAGTGTTGCAAATTGTTGAATATGGTCCAAGGTTAGCCCCTGCCGAGTGTCAATTTGGCGGACCCAAAGGTTGTTGTCAAGAGCTTTCCTGACCAAGCACGTTTTCTTTTTTGACAGCTCAAAAATCTTTGGCGCAATATCTTTAGGCCGGAGGCCGTCCAACCATGGAGATTCCCAAAACTTAGCTTTGTTTCCATCTCCAATGCACACCCGTGTAGCAGCCGCGAAGAGATCTTTATCGTTGCTAGTGCAAGGTGTTCCAGAGCCAGACCAAGTCTTAAGTGGTTCATCCCATTCGTGCCAGAGCCAACGCAAGCGCAGGGCGGTTGCAAATTTTTGGAGGTTGAGCACTCCCAGTCCACCATAAATCTTGGGCTTGCAGACGAGATCCCAATTAACCTCACATTTTCCGCCGGTCACCTTATCACAGCCCGCCCAAAGGTAGGCACGTCGCAGGCTATCGATCTTCTTCATCACTTCAACCGGAAGATCTAGAGGCGTGAGGTGGTAAATGGCAATGGCAGTGAGCACGGCCTTGACCAAAATAATGCGCCCCGGCGTAGCCACATGCATTGCCGACCAAGGCGGAAGCTTGCCTGCCACCTTGTCCTCCAAATACTGAAAGTGGATGCGCTTTAGTCTTGTAACCGACAACGGAAGACCAAGATATCGCATGGGGAAAGTAGTACGGACTGCCGGGAAGGCCTGTAGAATGTTGTCAAGGTCGATGTTGCCACAGCGAATGGGCGCCACAAGGCTTTTGGCGCAATTGGTGACGAGGCCAGTAACCTCCCCAAAGGAGCTCAAAGTTGAAGCCAAGTAGTGAATATCATCCTTGATGGGCGCCACAAAGATAGCAGCATCATCCGCATACAAGGATGCACGGATGGGCCGGCCACGAAGAGGATGCAACAAGCCTTGCTCGGTGGCCTTGGCTAGGATGTGGTGGAGCGGGTCAATAGCGAGGACAAAGAGCAAAGGGGAGAGAGGATCCCCTTGTCGAAGACCGCAGCCATGCTTAATTGGATCACCAACAACACCATTTAGCAAAACTCTAGATGAGGCCGTGGATAGGAGGGCGGAGACCCAATCTCGAAACCGGCTCGGAAACTGGTGGTGACGAAGCAAGTCCATCAAATAATCCCATCTCACAGAGTCGAAGGCTTTCTTGATGTCAAGCTTGAAGAGCAAGGACGGTGTTTTGTTGCGGTGCAATCGTCGAGCCAAGTTGCGGACATACATAAAGTTATCATGGATACTTCGTTTCTTGATGAAAGCACTTTGAGTATTGGAAACGAGATTGGGCATGTGAGGAGCAAGGCGGGTGGCCATCATCTTAGCAATGATCTTTGCAACAGTATGAATAAGACTTATGGGCCTAAAGTCGGATATGTCCTCTGCCCCATCTTTTTTGGGAATGAGAGCAATGTTAGCGGAGTTGAGCCAATGAAGGTTGGAGACGCGAAGGGCAGAGAAATTGTTGATCACTTGCATAATTTCAGGTTTGACAATGTCCCAGCATTCCTTGAAGAAAGCCCCAGTGAAGCCATCCGGATCCGGGGCCTTATCGTTTGGGAGGTCATAGATTGCACCGCGAACCTCCTCCTCTGTGAACAGGGCATCTAAATCTGAGGGGTTGCAAGTTGAACGGGGGATGCAAGACCAATTGAAGTCCTTGCAGCGTGGGGGGGCCTTTACCAATAGCTTTAGCAAAATGAGATTGCACAATATCTTTCTTGTCATCATGATTTGTGACTCATCCATTGTTATGTTTGAGGCGGTGGATAAAATTCTTTCTTCTTCAATGGTTGATTCGGAGGTGAAAGAAACGAGTGTTGGCATCTCGCTCTTTGAGGAAGGTGATTCGCGAGGACTGTCTCTTTCGGGCTCTTTCCAGAACAGCCAAGGCCATGGCCTTCCTTTTTAAGCTCTCTCCTGAGGTCACGCTCACTGGAGCTAAGGGGCCTCTCCTCTTGTGCCATGTCCAGCCGGAGGATGATCTCAAGGGTCATATGAAGTTGAACTTTGTGATTAGAGAAGATACTTCTTGCTCCTCCTGAATCTATCTAGCACCCAGTGTTAGTTTCTGAATGTTGATCTTCAGTCCAAGAGCGTTTCAGGAGCCTGCACTGCAAATTTCCTCCATATTTTTACAGACAGTGGACCTGCTTCCTGAGATCATCTACACTGTCATGTGTACACGAATGACCTGATCCGTTCGCTCAAATAATGATGAGATGGATACTAGTGCACTGTTTCACTTACCACGGCCGCTGTAGGTGTGCCCAATCGTGCCGGTTCACGCATCACGCATCATATGATGAGGCTCCTTTTGTTTGTGATGATGACCTTTATGGTTTTATTGGGTTAGGTGGGAGTAGTGTACAAGGGTTGCCAACTAACC